AAAAAAAAAAATTTTTGAAAAATTGAAAAAATGGGACGGCGGGTAATGCAAAACGAAAAATCAACTTTGCGTGGCCTTATATTAGATCTTTCAGTTGGTTGACCAAATAATAAAAATTTTTAACTATACTCATAAATTTTGAACGAAGAAATTGTACTAATATCCTGTTAATTTTCAGTATTCGAAGCTATTTTCGAATTCTACAAATTTATAGGATTTGAAAATAGCTTTAAATTTAAATTAACCAGACTGCTATTGAGTATTTGGGTGTTGCGTATTAAAACAGCCCATTTTTACATAAGTAAAATCAATTTTAATAGGAACATATATGAAATTTTCAATTAAAGTTCACTTTGTGAATCTTTTTATTATATGGTGCGGGAAGCTTTAAATCTCCATAAAAAATAGCTTTCCAAAAAATGCTACTCCTTTTTTAAATATTTATAAATTACAAAACTAATCTACAAGATTTGTTCTTCTTGTCTCTAAGGACAAAACTTGTGGTTTAAATTTAAATTTAAACCTAAATTAATAGAGCAGTAGCCTTTTAAATTTTGGCTATTTTATTAGAAATTTTTTGACAAATCAAATTATCTTTTACAGACCACACGTGTTTACTAATTTTAATAAATTTTAATAGCATCGGAGCTAACCAGACATTTTAATTTAAGTGACGTTCTACTTCTGGCTTATTCCGTTAAGATTACTATGAATAACAACGGAAGTCTACTGACACGTACAGGTCACGTGATATTTTATCTTATGGACACGTACCAAAATAATAATATTTTTTGATTTAAGAAGTGATTCGTTAAGGTTTTTGTACTAAGTTATCCTTTATCATTCCAATAAAGCTTGTTATCTTGGTCTTTCCTGTTATAATGTGGTGAGATTATTAAAATCTGATCAGTAGAACCAGAGATATGGCCTTTCGAAATTTGGGCAATGTTCTAAAGATTATATAAAAACAGAATAAACTTCATGAGGCCATATCTCAGGCTCCACTGAGTCAATTTTAATAATCTCACTACCACTAGTATCAAAAAGACCAAGAGAACAAGTTTACTTAGAGTGTAAAGGAGATTAACTTAGTTCGAAAGTTTTACGAGTCATCTTTTTCTTATTTTTTTCTTTTTTTAAAATTAAAAAGTAATTCGACTGAGATTTCACAATAGGTTAATCTCTTTATCATCTTAAGAATTAGTAGAGCTGGAGATATAGCCTCATGAAGTTTATATGATGTTTTTATAATCTTTAAAATGTTGCCCTAATTTCAAAAGGTCATATCTCCTGTTCTACTGATTAGATTTTAATAATCTCATCCTTATTAGAACCAGAATAACCCGAAGAACAAGTTTTATTAGAATTATAAAGTGTTAACTTAGTAGAAAAGCCTTACCGGATCTTTAAATAAAAAATTATTATTATTTTGGTAACGTATAGCATACCATAAAGTACCCCCATTAAATAGTACCCCATATATTAGTACTGTATTAGTATAATAGCCTTGAAGATCGATATGTACTCGGGTACTATATTGTTCACGCAACCTTAAAAATTTATACTCGGATACTATATTATACTATATAAATAGGATTTATACTCAAGCAAGTCGAGTAAGCAGATTCGATATTTAGCATACAATTTTTTTTTTAACAAAAAAATAGGATTAAAATGAAAACAATTGTATTTTTTATAAATGATTTTTTATTTCAAAATACTCGATTGTATTTAATTCGAATCATTTTATTGTATTTAATTTCAACCATTCTATTGTATTTAATTCGAATCCAACCATTCTATTGGATTTAACTCTAATCATTCACATAATTTAACTCTTGACCTTCATAGTAATCATCTTCATATTCTTCGATACTATCTTCTTTTTCTTGACTAAAATATGTTTCTATATTCTCGATTCTCTGATGATCTTCCATATTTATATCTGAACTTTTATTGGTTAATTAGACATAATTTCCATTATCACTAGCATTATTTTTCGTAATGAGATCATAATCAAATATAAAATGTTCTTCACTACCATCTCATGCATTAGAAATTCCACAGCACTTAAAGGAGCGACGAATTAAAGAAGGATCTACGATATCCCATGCATTTTTAACTCACTGAGCAACTAAATTATAAGCAGGCCTTTGAATATGACTAGTTGGAGTATAAGATTTGATTTCTTCAGCCATTTAATTATTATAATAATAGCATAACTATTGTTATAAAATTTTTTAATATTTGAATTAAAAAATATAGTAAATATAATTTTTTTATAAAAATCTAATCTTGGATTTAAACAATTTGTTAATTGATACATTCAATGGTTGTAACTTGGAAGTGAGTCCACCAGGTATAACTGCCATATTAGTGTTTTTTTTATTAAGTCAATTTTTAACAGGATTTACTAAATGATCTCTAAAGGAATCAAGCACTAATAAAGATCGTGGATTGCTTGACAAAGAGGTATGTCGATTCCATATATTTTCAACCCAAAAAAGCATTTCTTTCATATTAGAATAGCCTTCTTTATTGGTTCGAATGATAATACCTATAAGATCGTATAATGAAAATTTTATAAATTAGATTTTATCTATTTTTTATATATTAAATATTATATAATATTAAAATAATTATATACTTTAAATACCAGAAGCAAAAACTTGACGAGGAACATTTACTAGTTTAAAGATGATCATTGCTGGTAACTTTGTTCTGTCTGCCATATAGCTTAAAATTACAGTAAAATTAGATTTTTCATGTTCACAAGTTCGAATACTAATAGTTTTTGATCCAGTTGTTTCTATAGTTGTTGAACTAGGAAGATCGAATGCAACTAGAGTTTCATCCATATTACTAATAAACTTAAGAGGATAATCATACTAAATTCTTCGATATAAAACAAATCCCAAAAATGTATGTTGCATTTCTGATAAATCTTCAGGCAATCGTTGTGCTACTGTTGTATGATGACAAGAACTAAATTGATACCGTGTCATAAATCCATCAATCCATTTGTTACTAAATTTACATTCATTAATATTAGGGTACATTGTAGAATACTGATGTGATAAAGCTTTAGCTTTTAATTGTATCATTGCTCGTGTTACAACTTTCAAACTTTGACGTAACTCTCTAACCCATAGACTTAAAACCACTTCAAGTTCTGGGTACTTTGGACGAAAGCCATTACTTAATCTCCGAACATGGAGCAAAGCTTCTATTAATTTTTGCTTAAGTCCTTGCCATTTTCTAACTTGAACAGGCTCAATATTAAATGCTATAGCAGTTGCACAAATACTTTTTTGTGAATGATTTTCAAGATAAGCTATTGCAGCTAATTTTTCATGCACATTCCATTGGCGCCACTTTTTTTTTAGTAATAGTGGCTTGAAGACGCCATTTATTTCCTTTTGGTGGTGACATACTCTATATAATGTATTGCAAGATAAAATAAAAAATTATTTCTAACTATACTAATCTTGCTTAAAATACTCAAAATAAGATAAAGAATCTTTTATCTCAATAGTTTTACAAAATGCATTTATGATAAAGTGAGATTTAAAAAATTTTTCTGATCTCTTTTTATATGATTTATCATTATAGTACCCTGTGTCTTACATGTTATGATTAATTTTATAGCAAGAATATTAAACAGTATTACGATATTTTAATTTTTTTTTTCTACAATTATTATTTGATTTTTTTTATATAATTTTTAAAATATCTAAAATGTTATTAACTTAAAAATTATTATGACCCGAGCATTAAAGAAGTTCAATAGTATTTTTATTTAAAATAGTAGAAGTTAATTCAAGAACTTTGGGACTTTATACAAATTCTTTGATCATTAATAATAACCTTATCGATAAGTAATTCAAGTTTTTGTATGAATCGGGAATAAGTTTTTTTTTTTAATACATGCAGGTTTAAAACAAGATTTTAAATAATTATATAATGCGATAAAATGATTTTAAAAAAAATTTTTATTTATTTAAAAAAATTTTTATTTATTATTTTCTGAATATGGTTTTGTCAAGAAATTCTGAATTATTTTAGTCTTATATGGGATTGTCTGCCAAACACAGTACTCCCCATACATAATACTCACACCCATACACAGTACCCGGGGATACTATTTGTAGTTAACATGAGTTTCCTTGTTAATACCCGGGGTACTTTATGGCACGCTATACGGTACATGTCCATAAGATAAATATCATGTGATCTGTATATATCTGTAGACTTTCTAGAATAAAAAGTGCCTGAATCATATAATTGGAAGTTAAGCTTTTCACGCCATATAATTAGCTTTTATGACTTATAGCAAACTTTTTTTCAAAAGTTGTAAAATAGGCTGTTTTAATACATAATTAATACATAACATTATTTTGCTCAAAGTTTGAAAACACAGATAATATAATAAAAATTAGACTAACCAATCATAGATTTTCATTTCCTATATAGTGTGTAGTGTATAAGATTTGCTAATCACAACAATTTGAAAAGCATAGTAAAAAGTACAATAACTAGATATACTAATATTTTTTAAAACTTCAATTCAATATGGTTAATATAAAAATAATATATTGTTATATTTATTTGGTTTCTGTAAAAGATCTCAAAAATATATTCAAAAATATTGCAATGATCTTTTTTTTTTTTAAAAAAACTTTTCTTAATACTTGATAAGAGATATATAATTTAAAAAGCACATAAACCTTTTTAGAAGATTTTAAATATATTCAAAATTGATAGCACTAATTAAAATATAAGCAATTGGGTATATATTTTATTTTAAACTGATTTATACCCAATTAATATTAAATTGTAAATTTACTATATTATCAATTGATACAAATTGATATAGCAACCTAATTTGTGTAAGTTTATAAAATAGACAATCCAGGTTAGGGTCCCATAGCCTAGTGGTCTAGGTGCCTAACCCTCCACAGATGAGGTCAACGGTTCGATTATAGCTGGTGGTAATTAATTTAATTAATTATCTCTGTAATCTATGGGAGCTTTCGAATGCGAAACCCT